GTAAACATTAAAAGGTAGCTCAAGTTACATTGCAAGGGGCTTGGATCCTTTCAAAAATATTAACTTGCATCCATCAGCATTTTTGAGCATTTGCTTTTTTAGGTAATCGAGAGATAGTTTTGATGGTAGATATGAAGGGAAGGCAAGAGCACAGCATATGCATTTTTCATCTTGTACCAGTGCAGCCCAGTTTAGCAGCAGTGATTTAGCAAAGCTTTATCCCACCCTTCCTTCAGGAAGCCCCACACTGGGCACCTACAGCACTTCACAGCAGCTGGTTTTGGATTCATGAGAACAGTAGCTGCATAAGTATGAATGGCATGAACCATTTCCCCTTCTACTCCTAGAGCTGCTGCTTTCTTGTCAAGCTTATAAAATAGCACGCTTTATTAAAATTACTGTTGATAGCAGAAATATTGCTATGTCACAGACACAACAATAACCATTTGCAAAACACTTATCCTAGCTCTGTCTCCTCCTTCTCTTAGCTGGAGTAGCATTTCTGGCATATTTCTGGGAAGTCCATCCATCAGGGACACAAATGGTGCATTTCTATCATTTTCTGTAAGAGACATGTTAACTTATGTAATTCGGTATAAATTTCCACAGACTACTAATCTCATTTTTTCATCTCATACCTGTGGTACCTGACCTATGCTTTTTTAAAAAATTCAAGTAGTGACTTTTCTCCTGCATAGAAAGAAGGGTAAAAGTGGTCATAAGGCGTGATGAAGGTGAGGAGATAGGAGTACAGAAGACAAACAGTCAGAATCCTGCAGCTCTTGCCTCAGTGATCTGTTTGCTCAGCCAAGAAAATGCAGAAGTTGATTCTGGTTGTACACAATAACTGCAATCTATTGTAACACAACACGTGGGAAGACTGCAAATGTGAGGAATGCCCTGTGCCTCTGCATGTTGTCCAGGCTGCTTGGTGCCATGTCAAGGCAACAATGCTGCCAAAGCTGTCTTGCAAAGAATCACCCTCTGACAGCTTTGTCTCCCAACAACTGTGTAGCTGTCAGTTCATGGGCATTCCTCCTTCTCTGCAGGATGCAAAATGCCAGCTGAGGAAACACCCAGATCATTATCCCATAGCAGACAAAATAAATATTGTGTTTCCCCTGAACCAGCTATATATATAATTTATCTGACCCCAGTAAGACACTGAGATAGCATGGGTTCAACTCAGGCAAGGGAAAATGCTGAAGAACATCTAGAAGAAGTATCACATCTTCCAGAAGTATCTGTTACATAAAGAATAAATGGCAAACAAATCTGTTCAGCATTTGGAAAGCGTAAAAGCCCTTGGGAGCTTGTCCATGCAGTGGGGTGAAGTGCGTTGTTGCCTGCCCAATGTCTTCAGCTTCTCTAAATGAGGAGCCCAGACACTTAATTATTTAGTAGAAATACTGATTCACTGAGTCACTGTGGTTTTTTACAGTAGAAGAGCAGAAAGAGAAAACTTCTGACAACTACTTGGGTGAAAACCCCTTTGAGTCGCTGCTTGTGTATCTAAGGCTTGATTAAAGTAACATTTTTCTCTTGCATGGCTGTGAGTAAGACCTGGTCAGGTACCTCTTCTAAGAGAATGATCCATTGATCATAATGGGAGCTTTTCCAGCAGATCAGTGTTAATAATGATATTTGGCTGTGCAGTGGTTGCACAGTTTTCTATGGAGCTGAAGAAATCACTTAAACTTGTCTTCCTTTTCAAAGTGAAATTCAGCGTCTCTCCATCTTTCTGGTGCAGATTCCCTTTGTTACAATGGGATGTGCTGATTATTGAATAGTTCAGTTGCTGTCTTGTCCTGACTTTTCACTCTCTGGAGTTTCAAGTAGCATTTCATTAATAGTGTGAGAGATGTCCATTAAGGTTTTGGGGACAGTGGTGATGTTCCAGCATTTCCAAGCAATGGGAAATGTTTTCCAACATTGCACTGCCTATCATGCCTGAGCAATTGCCTGTGTGGTATGCATTTGTATTCAGCAGTGATCCAAATTCTCCTTTGTCATGGTCACATGAACTGTTCAACAGCAGTGGCCATCTCTGATCTTCAGTGACCCAGGTAAAGGTTATGACTTTGCTACTGGGCACATTAGACTCATCATTACATAGCTGTTTTCACTAAAACAGTAGTATCCAGGGCAAAAATAATAACTGAATCACAGGACTGGAAGGGACCTCTCCTTATCCATCCTTTTTCCCCATCTCTGACTTTCTGCTCCTGGCAGATGTTTATTTTCCTAAAAAACAGCTGGTATAGAGGCTGCACATCTTTACCAGGCAGTCTTTTTCTCTGCTCTTTATTGTCAGAAAGTTTTTTGTACTTTTCCTTGATACAATTTAAGCTTGTTGCTTGCCTTCTGCCTTGTGAAAATTGCTCCCTTCATCTTTGTGGTAATGTTTTTTTTACCTAGCTGCAGGCTATTCTCAAGTTGTGGCTGTGGAAAAAAAATAATTCAAAAATCTTCTTGATATGTTACTTTTTTTTTTGTTGTTGTCAAATGAATAAAATTTTACTCTGGCTGCCAACACTTTTCTGTTATAACTTTTAAACCATGTCTCCTGTTTCAGTATCTATTCCTTTCTCTGTGAATGCACTGTTCACCAATGCACCCTCAAGTACATTTTGCAAAGCAGTTTTCTTCTTCCTGTCACTGCCAGCAGATGACTTTGTGCAGTGCAGTCACACTGGATTTGCATCCTCCTCTGTATGAAGCAATTTCTCCATTCCAAATAGATCTTTCTGTGATAATGCTCAAGTGGTCACAGTTCTTACCCTATTAGCAGCATAGTTTTCATTGTTCTGCATTACTTCCACAGTGTGACACAGCTTTTTTCTTTGCTTTGTTATTTTATACTAGTCTCTCCAGCAGGACACAGTTAGAGGAAAATACTGGATATTCAACAAGGTAGAGAATCTTTAAATACTATGTTGGTGCCTGTAGCTGATCTATTTTGCATTACTGCATATGATGAATTTTAACAGCACTCCCCTAAGACTATGTGAACACATTGTATTTTGTAACGTTAATTTGTGCATAAACTGATATTTTGATAATCTTATTATAAATATGCACAATATTGCTCTGGGTGCATCTGTTCTAGATTGTTAATGATGCCTTTCTAGTCACCATAAATAATTGAACAATATCACAATCAGAAAACAGATCTTAATTTGTATTTAAACTGTGCAGTTTTATACATTTATTGGAATACAGATGACTTTTTTACGGTAGTCATTAGTTCTGAAACCTTGTTTAAACAGCTACGAAACGTATTTCCAACACACAGCTGTGTGCCTAGCATGCACTGTCTCATAGCACTGTCTCACAAAGAGATTCCCCAGCCTTGTTGCCCATAAAGCTACTGAGGAGCTGTCAGATGTGATACCTGACCAGCTCCCAGGGACACTGAGCTGGACTGGTGACTGTGCCTCACTGTCCTAGAGAGCATGTCATGTGTGTATGAGATCTCAGTGTAGCATATCCTGTGCTTTCAGTGAGATCTAAAAATTGTCACCACTTAAAATACATGAAGTGATTGCAGATGTCAAAAATATCTGTATTGACTATAACTTTCCAATCCATTGGCTGTAGGAAACCCTGGCAAGTTTCAAAATTACTGGGTAGGAGCACTTTTTCTTCTGGCTAAAAGTGATGCCAACTAAAAGAAAACCAAACTGTGCCAATGGCTATATCCTAAATATGTAATAAACCCAAATAGGCTTTAACAATGGTGGAAGGTGTCCATGTTGTACCAGATGCAGTATGATACTACTTGTAGAGTTTTTTTAAGAATTTGAAATGTCCTACATGATGTCAACTCAATTACCTGTCCATTTGTTCAAGCAAAGTAATATTTGCACATTATTCAGTGAATGAAAGTTATTCAAATAACTGTGCCTATGCACATTAAGTACAAGCAACCTTTACAGAATATTTGGAGAATGTGTGGAAAATGCAGATGAAAATCTAGTAAGCTGCCATTTTAGAAACACACTTTGGTATTCCTTTGTGCTGTTCGTTAACCCCATTCCCTAATGCTGAACATCTGCAGATATCTGTGACAGCATGGCCAAGGAGCTGCCTGGGCTTTGTCTGAGCTCTGAAGGGGGAGCGCAGAGCTGTGTGCTAGTGGGGTCCCCTCCATGACCAGAGGGACACTGCAAATGCCTTGCCAGCAAAAGCAGAGCTTCAAGGAAAATTCATATTCCTTCTTTTTTTCTTGTCTGCTCAGGTGAGGACAAACCCTGGAGACCGCTGGGTGGGCTGGGAGCAGGAGCTGAGTGCCGGGGATGGTGCCTGTGGCGGGAGGTGCGGCACAGACTCATTCGCCACTGCCGGGAGACAGAGATGTGCTCTGGCAGGGCTGGCCCTCCTCCGGGACAACCTCCAGCCAGGGTAAAACTGCAGAAATGAAGCCGAGGGAGGCGTTTGTTTAGGGAGAAGTGTGTGAAATCCTCGTCGTTTCAGCCCCTGAGGCAGAGGTGGAGCACAGCAGCGGTGTCCCAACTTCTCCAGAGGTGGAAACCTTAACAGTGTGAAGGAGTGGAGCAGGAGGACACGCTGTGCCGGTGAGTGCCCTGTAGAAAGCCATGACAGCAGAGTCGGCTGGGCTCATTTCCTTAAGATTTGTATTTGCAGCTGTCCTTGTCATGGGATATTCTTCCTTTGGTCACCCACATGAGCCGCCTGGTCTTCAGCTGTGCCACCAGGGAAGAAGGCAGCGGCAAAGGGCTCGCAGGTGGCCAAGCCAAGGCACCCTCGAGCCCGAGGGTCATCAACCTTCCCCCTGCCCATCCCAGCTGAAAAGAATGTGCCTGGACGCGGGGTTAGAACGCTGTCAGCACAGCCGCGCCACCGCACAGGACGGGGCCGTGCCGCCCTCAGGCCACACGCGGGGCGGGCCGGGCCCGCCCGTACAGGTAAGCGGCGCCGCGCGGGCGGCGGCCAATGGCGCGGCCCGGCGCTCCGCCGTCCCTCATCCCGCTCCGCCGTCCCTCATCCCGCTCCGCCGTCCCTCATCCCGCTCCGCCGGCCCCGCCGCGCGTCCCCCGTCCCTCTCCGCCGACCCCGCCGCGCAGCATGGCCGGGCTGGGCGGCGGCCTCGCCGCCTTCGGGCGCTGCACGCACGCCGTGGTGCGGGCGCTGCCCGAGTCGCTGTGCCGGCAGGCGCTGCGCAGCGCGGCGGGCCCCGAGGTTGACTTCGCCCGCGCGGAGAGGGAGTATCAGCTGTACGTGGGTGTGCTGCGGGGCAAGCTGGGGCTGCAGGTGCTGGAGCTGCCGGCCGACGAGAGCCTCCCCGACTGTGTCTTCGTGGAGGATGTGGCCGTGGTCTGCGAGGAGACGGCGCTGCTGACCCGCCCGGGCGCGCCCAGCCGCCGGAAGGAGGTGAGGAGCGGTGCGGAGCCGTGCGGTGCCGTGCGGTGCGGTGAGGAGCGGTGCGGTGCTGTGCGGAGCCGTGCCTGCGCAGGTGAGCTCGGCCGGCCGCGCCGTCGGGCGTGTCCCCGGGCCCGCCCCAGCCCCGGCGGGAGCGGCGGAGCGGGGACACGCTCGGAGCCGCAGCCCCGCTCGGCCGCAGCGGCCCCGCGCAGCGGCTCAGCCCGTGCCCGCCGCCGGCAGCCGAGCCCGCCGTGCTGGGCTTAGTGGAGAGCGCTGCTTCTCCTGGAGACAAGTGAACAGACCGTGTAAAGTATGACTCATCCATTCTGGGGCGTGCGGGCTTTCTCCCCGTGTCAGCGTGCCCGATCCCTCCGGCGGCTTGTGCGGGTTCGTGAGCACGGTGCAGCCCTGCCCAGTCCGCAAACCCCATACTCAGTACGCGCTGAACCCGGGCTCAGCCCCAGGCAGTGCATCACCGGTGCCTGCCATGGTTGTATGTACTGGCCTGTGCACAGAGCTGGTGTGTGTTTTGCTGTGCTTGGTGTCAGCCCTAATGCCCTTGAACTTGATTCCGCCTTCCTTGTGCAACATTGCAGGCCCCTGCATGTGTGGGGACACAGGCCATTGGAGAGAGGTGTGGTGGATGCACACCCTTACTTTGGATCTTCTTAGTACTTTCTTAATGTCTTCAGCCCATTCATAAACTAGTTTCATCAGGCAGTGCATGCATTGAAGTGCCACCCAGTTATCTTCTCAATGAGCAGTGACAGCCTGCCTTCCTGAAAGTATCTTTTAATGTAACCCATCTCATGTCTCTTTCAGTTCCCATCATCGGTACCATAGTGCATTGTGAGATCCACAGGCCTGTGCTGCTCTGCCTGTGGGACAGACCACTAGCTCTAGCACAGCAATAGCTCCTCTTGGTTTTGGTGGTTTTTACAAAGTGCCTTTTTCTTATCAATTACAAAGTTTTCTTAAATTCTCCCCAGCGGTGTAGTGCACACAACTTGCACATGTGCACTTCTTGTGCATAACCATGTGTATTTACTCCTTGTAACACTCCTGAATGCTCTTTAAGGTGACAGCACCAAAGTGTTTGCCACATGCTACTCTCAGAAGCAGCTGTTTCTTAGCCAAAGTGAGTTTTCACTGGTCCTTCCCATGACACGCTGATATGTAGCTCTGAGTCCTGCTCCCATTTGTACCATTTCCCCTTCAGGAGGAAGGATTTACTTCTTTCCATAAGTGACTTGTCCAGGTAGAGTCAGAAACAAGAGAGAGACAGAGATTTCAGGCATAATTTGAATGTTATTAGTGTTCTTGAGTGATGGAGCAATCCCTCCCTTGAGTTTTCTATGAAGTAAAACCGAAAAAAATAATTAAACTAGTGTCCTTTTAAAGCTTTTACAATGCATGACTCTGCAGTGTAGTGCCTGTCTGAACATTTAACTCTTATTTACAACAATTCTTCCTCCTGGTAACATTGTTACAGCAGTGTCTTGTGGAAGGGGGGAGAAGGTGCTCATTTCTGCGGGATGCTACCTGCCTGTTCCTGATCCCTCTCCTCCCCAAGGCATCCTCCCCTTCCTGGCATGGTTACTGTCAGCTTTGTTTAGCTGGGGTGCCTAGGTGGAGTAGCTGGTGACCAGGATGTCATACTGAAAACAGTGAAATGGCAAAGGCTTTAGAAAGCTGGAATGCACACATGCCTACCCAGAGCTCTCATGCTGTGGCTGTGTGTGCCTTGGACATCTTGGCAAACGTCTATGATAATGTCATCTTCATAGAGCCCCCAGAAAGTACCCAGAGCCTCTCTGCTCTTATTGCCTCCAGCTGTGGTGCTGGAGGTACCAGCCACAGGTGCTCAGGCAGTCCAGGCTCTGAGATATGTGGGCACCCTGTCCTGAGGGAGCCCAGCACCTGCTGCTGGCCCTCCTGCCAACCCCAGTGAGTCTGTCAGAAGCCTCCCAAGATAATTTTCTGAGGTTTATGTTCAGTCTCTGAATTCCCCATTGAGATAGTTGCTGGAGTCTGGTGGCAAGTGATGTTGCTGCAGGATCTCTCTTACCATCTGTCCTGTCAAATCTGCCTTTGTCAGTGACCTACAGGAGATTGGGGCATCTTTATTGAGCTGTGAGTGGCCCCAAACTGGGGCAAGGGTGAGAAGTGATGCCACTGAGGTCTAGGCTGTGCAGAGGGTCCTTACCAGGCTGAGAAAGGGGCTGACCCAGGGAGATCTCGTGGTTGAACAGGGACAAGTGCAAAGTGCTGCCCCAGGAAAGGAAGGATCCTACATCAGCTGGCTGTTATGAAAGTGAACCAAGACTGTGGCAGTGCACTGTCACTTGTACTGGGTGACAGGGAAAGAGGGTAGATGCAGGCTACGTAAGCACTGGTTTCTCAAACTGCAATCTCTTATTCTTTTTATGTAACATAAGTGCAAACCCATGAATATTTTAGCAGTACAGTTGGCGTATGCTTGGCTTAACCCAGTAAAGCCCAGCTCCTGATCATGCACTCCTGACCTGAGCCTCCCTATAAGGCAGGACTCAGCTGGACTTGTCTTACTGTTAGATGTATTTTTGTCCAGAGCAGGCAGGGGAAGAGGAAGAAGGAAAGGATGAGTGAAACAGGGTCGTAGAGCACCATTTCTGCAAGTAATTAATAGAGGGAGGGTTTGTGTCCAGGAAGCCTGCCAAAGAGCCATGTGGTAGGTTGAGCTCTGAAGCCTGATCAGACCAGGGAAAACTGAAGAGCACTGGGCATTACTGAGGTGCATCCCAAACACAACAGCGTGGTTGCCTACTCAGCTGGTGCAGTGCTGTTTCAGGTGTGTTGTGCCTTCTGATAAACTGTCTGCCAGATGCATGAACTGAGCAGCACTGTCTTAATCTCCCCTGTTTCATGCTACTGAAAACCTATAATGCAGTATTCAAGAAAGATACAGCTTTTTCTTCCACTGACTAGACTCTTTATTAAGAAGGCTTGTCACCAATTACGGTAACACTATGCAGTAGACAAATTTCTGCAGTAGTTTTATAATAGCATTGATTGAGCTTTCAGGCTTTATAGATATTACTGCTTATTCCCCCAGCAACACTGGATTCTTTACTGATTGTCTGTCTGGAACAAAACAAAATAAAATCTAGGGTTATGTCTGTTCCTGCTCCAAGTTATTGTAAGGAGAAAAAAAGAATTGAATTAAATTTGGTCATGTTCAGGCAGTGCTGGGAAAGAGCCCAGTATTTTTTTAGTAAAGTAGAAAAATTAGTCATGCATTTAATGATTTGTTTGCAAGTCAGACTTATTTCAAGGCATTATGTTTCTGTGTTATAAGCTTCTGAACTTACTTTAAAATTCATAGTTTCTGTGGAGTTTTGATTTGGCAGAAAGGTAAAGGCTTTTGAAGTAAGCCAAAGGTAGATTGCTAATATGTCTAAACTGGTATTTAGCTGTGTGCAGTCACCAGTGCACTTGATGCTTAAGTTGAGTAAGTCCAGTGGAAATGTTGTGATCATTGATCAGATTGCCAGTTCCAGCACCTTTTGTTCCAGCAGTATGTTCTCAATTGTTTATTCCTCCTATATAAACTCTCAACGTCACCTTCTGCATACAGCAGGGTTAGTTGCTGTGAAGAGCCCTCATCAGCACATTGCTTTTGCTGCCTAAGTTGTCTTAATGTGCTTGGGATAGCACAGAACAGCATTTCCACCATTTCTGTGCTTATGCAGACAGATGGAAACCCAAAAGCTCAGCAAAATGCACCCACAGTGACCTGGCCTCTTCTCAGCTGCCAAGTAGAGAATGGAGAATTAGTTGGTGCTGGGAAAACTACAGGAGCTGCTGCAGAAGAGCTCAGTGTATTTCCTTCCTTGGTTAAGAGAAAACTTCTGCCCAATACTTTTGTTGCTCCCTACACCCCCAAGACGCACTGGGGACTTGTGGCTGTGTTCATGTGGTGTAGGAAAGCTGTCCTTCAGCAGTGAGGGACAGAACGAGCAGCCAAGAACTGTGTTTGTCAAATCCCATCCTCTCAACAAGAACTGGAGAAACCACCTAATTGCTTTTTCAACATCTCTTGGTATCTCTTCCCAAATCTACTTGCTGTGTGGCAGGATTTTGTCGACAGCCCATCCTGTGCTGGGCCAGGTAACCTGCTCCTCAGTGCTGAGCACCCTCAGCTGCCACACTGTCCCCCCCGTAGGGCCTCTGCATGGCTGTGTATGAGCCACAGCCTACACTGGCCCGTGGTCCCAACTGCAGCTGGCTGCTTGCAGGGATAGTTCTCTGACCAGGATGTAGGAGTTTCTAAAAAAACCAGAAGGTAAAAAGAGTTCACTAAGTTATTTATGTATTGTATGCACTGAGGTAATACAGCATAGCTGCTGCTAAATGCAAGACACTTTTTCCACTCTCTCTGTAGGTATAGATGGTTCTGCAGGTTAATGATGTCTGTTTCAAAGTAATAGAAAAGCTAGGCTCAGGAGAAAGAGATTTAAGGCTCTGCTGGGCTCCTAAACTTAATTAGGTTATGGGGGTTTTGTTCTACAGCATACACATGTGAGCCTTTAGAATCCTTTAGGTTTGAGAAGAAACTGAACCCAGCACTCGAGGTGTAGCCATTGCTGAGCACAGAGGGACAATCCCTGCCCTGCTCCTGCTGGCCACACCATTGCTGGTACAGGCCAGAGGCCATTGGCCTTCTTGGCCACCTGGGCACAGCTGGCTCACGTTTGTGTTCAGCTGCTGCCAACCAGCATCCCCAGGTCCTTCTCCGCTGGGCAGCTTTCCAGACACCCTGTTGGGCTGCATGGGGTTGTTGTGACCCAAATGCAGGACCAACACTTTGTATTGGTGAACTTCATAGAAGTGGCCTTGGCTCTTCTATGAGGTTCACCAGACCCCTCTGGAGTCCCAAGGCTGTTGTGCTGCATGGGGTTGTTGTGACCCAAATGCAGGACCAGTACTTGGTATTGGTGAACCTCATAGAAGTGGCCTTGGCTCATTGA